GAACTACCTTCCTTACTCAAAGCTGTACCACTTTCAAGAAGTGTGTTCCATTTCCCAAATGCATTCTGTGGTTCAGAAATCAGTATTGGTCTAGCATCAGCACTTACGAGTTGTGGAGCTCTTGGCTGTGTTGTATACTTATGTTTTTAACTGGTACATAGGTTAAATGTAAGTTATTAGGCTGAATATGGTAAGGAAACAGCTGAAAAGCTTGTGGCCTGATATGCAGAGCAATCAGAACAGATAAGTGGTCCTGTCTAGCCTTGATTTGTCCGACTTTATGGAAATTTTAATTATCATTTGCTTCTTCCTGAGCCCACCTTCTGCTATATTTTCTTTTACTCTGCTTCTATCATTCTGAGCAGCAAATTAGCAAACTGTATGTAGAGCAACTCTCCCCTATTGCAAAGGCAAAACATGCTGAATTTCAGGAAGGCTACTGTAACTCAGACAAAGGAAATAAGAGGGCATTAATCACAAGCAGGCTTACAAGCATCAGCTTTCACAATGAAGAAAGAACTGGCTGTTTAAAAACCCCACTATATGGAAATCCATCAGAGGATTGGGTTACTGACTGTGATAAGGGGTTTCTTTGCATGATTGGATTAATTATAGCTTTATCTCCTTTACCTTTTTGTTAATAAAGCCACACACGGCTTGGGATGTGAACAAACAGCATGTCTGAAACTGAAAACTTCCACCTTTGTAATGTAAAGATTCATGACAATTCACAGAGCAGATCTCTTCCTCTCTATATGCAGAAATGAAACTAGAGAATGGCCATGTCCTTCCAGAACCAAGCAGTCTCACCAAGTCTCTGCAAAGACGGTAATTTGATTTCATAGTGCGTACAGAGCTTGTCCAGACATTCAGGAATGGTGCAGAAAGCAACGCTGCAAGTGGTCAGATAACAGCACAGTGGCTTCATACAAAATCAGCTGTTCACAGCATAGAAACTCTAGCACTAATGTTAACATGACATCAGGCTGTGGCCTCCAAGAGCACGCACAGCCATGTCTAAAGGAACCTGCTTCAGTGCAAAGCAATCTCCAAAGAAACTGAAAGAAAATAAGCTGATTTGTGAGCTCTGTGGGATTCTGGGCACAGATATCAAGGCAGGTCACACATGCCAGGAAAACGTTTGTCCTGCCTATGGCTGCATGACTTCATGAGACCTACCACAGGTCCCACGGGTCCAGGCAGGACGAGGGGAGCCCTCCCTCAACAAATGCACTGCAGCAATGTGCCACGATTCCTGCAACATCTCCATACTTCAAGCTGTGAAGCACTACTATCAGAAGTCCCAGAACTTCTTGGCAACCAAAGGCTATGGTTCCTCACAGATCCCTGGTCTGCACCAAAAAAGGCACTTTCACAACTTAAGCACAGCAAACCAAAGCCAAATAGCTTAACAACCAGTTTGACTTAAGTAGATTTACACACTTGTTCGCACAGGGCTTCATGTGCTCATTACTCCACATCACGGGCTGAGCGTACAGACTGCAATACCCAGTCCTCTGACCCACGTCTATTTCCAACACAGGCTGTGAGCAAAAAGCCTTTCAGACATGGACAGCTTGCAGTGGCTTCTCTTGCCTACCACAAAAGAAAGGACCCAAGTCTGACTACTACAGTTAATGCTACTTTCTGAAAAGCCTTGAACGTGTATCATATATTCCTATTCACATTCTACTTTTCAGAAGCCCATTTCAACACATAGCCTCATATCCAAGAGTCCAGACAAACTTTGGGGAGTACTCTATAGCTCAGCAGAGCCCTGCTTGCTTGCTACCAGCCAAATCTTTGGTCATACCCAGGGACCACCATAATTAACAGTTCTGAAGTATAAAATGGTTTAAAGTATAAACCAAGTAATAATCTCGATTGCAAAGAGACATGGCCCTCTACTGTTAATCTCTTCCAGTACCAAAAAAGCTACCACTTAAATCCTGTATCAAGGTTCCAGGCCAGTATTTACTGTCACCTTGAATGTCCCACAGACAAACTCACTGCTTACAGCACCCTGGCTGTGCTAGAGTTGCTGCTTACCTTAGAGCCCTTGACCCTTCAGGGAAAGGAAGTGGCCCTGAGAAGTCTCAAGTCTGACTACCTAAGGTTTTATGACACTTTTCTGTAAAGCTTTTGTTTGTGGGGGAGGTATTTACACTAGGCCAGGCTCCTTGGAGCTTACTTGGGAACTGTTATTACTACACAAATCAGCACCGTGCTGAAGCATAACCACAGGCTTTCTTCCACATGGACCTATAATCAGAAAAGATGCCATATGCTCATGCAGCTGTGGGAAAGAGCAAGTGAGGGGAGCTCCCTTGTTTTTCTGCACTGCATGCATTTTTTTTTTTTTTTACTTTCTGTAAGAAGGGAACGCCAAGGCTGATCAGCAGCACTTAGGTATTACTTTGATGGAGTTTAGGATGCTTAGGAAAGCATCCTAATGCACCCGAAAGGGAAAAGCAGACATGCATAATGCATTTAACAAATTCCAAAAGATGGTATGATCTGTTCTCCTTAAAAGGCACCAATCACATTAATATCACTTTTCAGACAGAGAGCTTTTTCTCTTTACAGAGAGATAACAGACCACTGTAGGCATCCCAGTGAGCTTCACAGAAAGCCAACGTGATGTTAATAGTGCATGCAGCAGGGAACAGGATACCGGAGCTAAGGAAAGTAGGTTGCTTTCCAATATGACTTTGCCCAAAGTTGCGAGGGAACAGTATTATCATCTTTCTGGCAAGTGATCAAGATAAATACATCAACTACGAGGTGCAGATGCCAAGGTGTGCAGCACAGCCAAGGACTCACAGGAGAGATGACACTTGTAAGGATGGATCAAGTCCTCAGTCCCTCTACTGCTCATAACCCAAACCCATAACCTACTTGGGGTAATGCTGCCTATCCCTGCAGCTCACAGTTGTCAAGAAACTAAGTTAGCAATACTACACTAGCACATTCCTCAGCTCTGACTTAAGCACCACTGTTCCAGAAATACACACAGCCCTGAAGTGTAACAGGCCACCTGGGGAGGCGAGGAAAAGAAAGACAGCAAGCACACTGTGCAAGTGGCAAGCGCCATGCAAGCACACCTTGGACACTCCCCTGGGTCTTGTGCCTTTTATTGCCATGAGGGCTCCCAGAAGGCTGGAGATGTTTTCAGCCCAGAGTGGTGTCAGTTCCCGCTGGCAGGAAGAAGTCTACAGAAACAGTATAGCATAGGCAATGATAGTAAGTTAGCACCTGCAAGAAAAGGTAAGAAACTCGTATGTTCAACTTTGACACTTACTGTCCCAAAAAGAATGGAAATTCAGCCCTGACGGTAGTCCCCACCACCAATAAGGGACCTTTTACCCTCCCTTCTATATGTTCCATATTTATCCATGTCCTCCTGTTTGTTAGGTGACATCTGTTTTGGAATAAATCCCTACAAGCCTGCAACTAACTAATAGGAAGGAACAATTTAGTCCCCTGCAGTACTAATTGATGTATTTGCTTAGGGATAGAAACTGAATGATGTTTAAGACCTGATTTACAAAGTTTGTGCCTACTTCTTTGAAGAACTGAGTTGATCTCAACTTGCAGATAGGACAGAGCTTGCTACTTGCCTTATGTATACTTTTTAAACCTGAAAAAAGTCACCTCTAACGTAAGCTCATGCTCAGTTAAGCCTGATCTCTGTCCCATTGCCTGCGTACAGAAGTATATCACAGATCATGGCCTTTGAAGGCTCTATAGCAAAGCTCCAAACAGAATAGCAAGTGATAAGATAATGCACTTGGTAAGAGTCTTGTAGGTGAAATATTGCCCAAACTTCACACATATCTACATATTTAACAACAGTAGAGAAAAAGCCCTCTATCATATGAGGACTGACAATGGCAGGACCTGAAGTGAATGATTACACTGCTTTAACACAGAGCATAAGTTGAGATCTGATCCTGTGTAGTTGCTTAGCAATTCCCAGCTTTTCCTGATAAACAACAGGAGCTGAACAGCATTCAAATACACCCCAGCACTCCATGGAGATTTCATACCATCCCCTTCCTTCACCATCTGCTGATGAGCTTCGTACACCCTCCAAAAAGTGGAAAACTAATGCAACAAGGAAGCACCAAAGGAAGACTGACGATATTGGTCTTTTGCAAGACAGAAAACCCTGCTGTTAGGAGAGAAGCACTACCCATAAAATGAAATAAGTATTAAAATTGACTCAAGTCACACACACCACAGCACCCCAGCAGTCTGAGAAAAGGCAGACAGTGCTTCTGGAGTATATGAGCCTGCCACCCCAATATGGCCCATAAATTTATGGATGGATATAAACTGACACATTCAAGATCAAAATCCACTTTTAAACACACATACTGCTAAGTGGAGCACTGAGTAGATGTGATCATCCTTTGCACCTGCAGTAACTGCCACAGGAATAAAATCCATCAGAAGGTCTCTGTCTGCTTCCCCAAAGAAGAATCCCTACCAAACACTTTCCTCTCTGCAAAAGGAAAGGAAATGGTAACACAGATCTGCTACCAGAATCCAAGTATTATCACCCACTAGATGCTCTCCACACATACTTGGGAAGGCTAAGATATAAGTGGATCGATATGGACTAGCAAAGACGCAAATTCGAAAAACTTGCTGTTTTAGCATCACCCTCTCTGCAGAGGGGCCCAAAGCAAAAGGAGACCGGTCTAGAGCACATTTAGTTAGCAAGTCACTCTGTCTTATCTCAACAGTACTGAATAATTCGTCCACACTTCAGAGAACTCCCATTCTTACCCTCAGCAATGAATATAATGACATAGTCACATTGAGTAAGTATACAGAAATGTAACAGAAGAGAGACTGGCTCAAAACACTGCTCCCCCCAGCAACCATACCAACAAATAAGACAAATAAATCTGTTTGGCAGAGTGATCTCTTTTTGGTAGTATCTTTTAACTTAAAAAAAGAATTGCACTGGAGTCAAATAATCAAGCCCAGGATAGTCACAAAAAATAAAGGATGTATTTTCTCCAAAGATCAAAACCGTAACTAATGTAAGACATTCATATCAGAAGTTCAGTGTCCAGAAACACTTTCCTGCCATATAAAAAAAAGATACTGCTTTACTGCTCCAGAATTTCCTTGCTCAAAATGCTTAATTCTTCTCTCACATCATTTTGTCAGTAACTTGCTTTTAACTACAATGTACAAACATTTTTTCTTCACCACCCTCATCTTATCTAAAGCTCTTCTTTTGTTCTGGAGAGTTTTGTTGCATGCTCCTCTATAAATCTGCTCAAATGCTCTAAATCTCTGTCCCCGCCTTCAAATTTAATAGGGTTGTTCTTCTTGTCCCTCAGAGCAAAATAGATAGTTGGGAATCCCTCCACTTTGTAGTGGTCATTTGTCACATCATTAGCAGTAGCATCCATCTTGGCTATAACTAGATTTTTTTCATTCTTGTATTTTTTGCCTAGCTCGGTATACACCGGCTCTAGTTTCTTGCAGTGTCCACACCATGGGGCATAGAACTCTATGAGAACGTCATTCTTTGGATCCAGTACTATGGTATCAAAAGTTTTACCCACTACCACCTTCACAGGCCCTTTATTATTCTTTGGCACTGGCTGGGACTTCACAATAGCCTTCAGTTTTCCTAGAAGAAAGCAAAACCACACCACTGTTAGAATACAGTATGAGCAATCCTTACAATCTCCCCCAAGAAGAAAGAGCAGAAGTACGTCCTCCTGCAAGGGAAAAGCATTGCACCAGTAAATGGACTTACCTAGGCTAGCTTGCTGGTGATGTTTTAGCACAATAACCTTGTGAAATATGGTTAACAATTTGTTTCACAATTTGCTACAATTTTTCTCCCCTCTTTATGGCTGTCCATCCACAACGCATTACTGATTTATTACACTAGTCCCAAATAGGAATGATCAGCTCACACTTCAAAGCTGCAAGAACATTTTAGGCTTGCCAAACATGCTCAGTGCTACAATATAGCTAGATGCCACAGCATAGTCCAAGCAAAGTTAACAAACTGAGATTAAAACAAGGCAAGAAACATCCAAAAGCTTTAAGCCACAGAGCACTGTAAGGTTGCACATACGACTTTTTTGTAGCCATTGCCTCAGGAAGAACTCTCGGAAGGAGTGGCTTAGAGAACCCCATTTCAGAAACTGTACCTTTTTTGAATGCCAGCACAAATTGCCTGAGTACATCAGAGTCAAACTCTTCTGGCTCCATGGCATATTTCTTGCCACCTTCATCCAGAATGGCAACATTGACATCCTCTCCACTCTCAAGCAGGCCCAAATCTTTTATTTCAGAAGAATAATCTTCCTCATCAGAAACAGCAAACACATATTCAGGGAAGTCTTTGGCCACTTCCAGGACTTTGCTTCTCCAGTACTGGGTAGCTGAAAAAACAGAGTACAACAGGATTACTAATTTCTAGTTACTTACTACTTCCTTCCTCCCAAAGTGGAGGAATGGTAATCTTGGCTAACTTACCAACACGATAGTCGAAACTAAAGTCTACAGAATAATAGACAACCACTAGAGGACGCTTAGCATATCTTTTAGCATCATTGGAAGGCTTGCGATGACCAACTAGAGGCAAGGCATGTTTTAGCACATGCTCTTTAATCTCTGATCCATCTGTAGAGTCCTGCTTAAAAAAAAAAGGGAGAAGAGTTCAGACAAATGTATTTAAGTGGCATTTCTGTCACACACTCTGAAAACTAATAATGATGCACACGTGAATGACAAAGAGGGGCACGTTATAAACAATGCTGTCACCATACTCTTCAAATCCTTAACCACTAAAGATAATTTAGTATTCTACCCTTAAACTGAATATTGTAATGGTAAATTATTATTTGAATACGTAACCTCTGGGTTAATTTATAAAGCTTTACTGAACAAAGCAATACAATTTCAGGGGACAAACAGGTTGCCTCAAATATCTAGTGGCGTACTTCCAACATGAAGATGTCAACTGGTCAATACCTACAAAGAAAGAGAACCTTCAATCCACACACAAACTTTCTAGCTGTGGACCAGCTACTCACCTTAAGATCCAAAACATGCATCTTGGGCTCGTGCTTTGACTGAAATTTTTCTGGCTGCATGACCACCAGTTTTCCTGGAGACACTTGGAGTAGTTTTGCAATCTCATTGCTGAAGGTGTGGTGGAATTTATAATCTTCTCTTAAGCTGTTAGCTGAAAAATTAAGGTTAGGGAGAAGGAAAAGTCATCAAGAAGTGAACTGACAGCCTCTGAGTGAAATCTTGAGACTACACTGCAAGGAAACTCTTTCCATTCTCAACAGGACACAGACCAACCCAGAGTGTTGGAGAACAGCTCTCATCCAGGGGTGAGAAGCATGTGAAAATACATACAATTCAAGCAGCACTATTTGAAAGCTGTTCAACATGACATCTGCTTGCCGAGTTATTCTACATATTCAGAAACCTTGAACAGCTTCCAAAACATATGCAGGGAAAACAGCTGTTTGTCAGTCTCCTGCCTCTTGGTTTCTCCCCAAATAACAGAAAGTAGAGCTGGAAAGGAACTCACAAGGTCACCTTGTCAATCTATTCATTTTGGGGCAGCCTGGGAAACAGTTCAATATCTTGCCATGCTGGAGCAAACAGATCAGCTTCTAATCCAGTGGCAGCCCCAGAAGCAGGCATCGCCAGGGGAGAAGAATTGTCTGTGCATGCTGCTCTCAAGGCTCTGGCAGAAACCAAGAGCAACTGCGAGTAGTTCAATCATGTACAACAAAGGGATTGATTAAAGGGACTGAGCACTTCAAGGACTTAGCCTTTTCTGTGTGGTAGCAAATATTGTTAATAGGACTGTCAGTGTGTCATGTCAAAGGGGTTTAAGAATAAAAATCGCCAGGAATGGTCTAGCTAAAATGATCCAGAGGTGGATGACAATACTTTCTCCAGGTCCCCCACCCCAAACAAATTCAGCAGTCCAGCCTCTGGCACTATCAGATATGAAACAAGCAATAACAGATGGCAAAGTTAGAAAAGCTTTAAGCCAAGAAGCTGTGATTTGTTCATCAGCTAGGAATTTTTCCTCCTCTTTAGTCTGCATGTTTTTAGGGACACAGTACCAAAAAGAGGTATCTCCTATAACTGGCTGATACTTTAGCTATAGCCTCAAAATCGGGTGTTTTTTTCTGGAGTACAAGTGGAAGACCACCCTTCAGTCTTCTTCCTCTTACTCTCCAACCTCCCCCACTGAACTAAGAGCAGAAATAAAGAATTGCTTCATGCCCAAAGTACTAGACAGAACCTCAACAAAACATACACTACTGTTTTAAAACATTCTTTACCTGCTTCCTGATAGAGCTGATAGGCTTTGTCATTCTCTCCACTAAAGACACCAATGATGATGACATCATCCCCATCCCTCAGAAACTCCTGTACCTGCTTGGTAGCCTGAATCTGTTTGGATGGAGGACCAGCCTGTTCAATCATGTAGTCGACAATACCTGTGAGACAAACCCGCCCCCAAAAAGTTGCTTAGAACATTTATTGAACTGAAAGGTTCAGGCATTCCCTCTATGACATTGTTTAATACCACATTTCCCGTGGACATCTTTCTTTCTATGCAGCCCTCCCACAACAACTGAAAGATCAAATCAGCAAGACCTCAGTGCAAGTTTTTAAAGCTGCAGTTTTGGATTTTAGGCTTGTTTTAAAGCTGCAGTTCTCTTTTAGGCTTGTTTCAGACCAGGTGAAAGATATCAGCTGATCTTTCAGGTAACCCTCTTTTCTTAAATTCCAGACCCTTCACTATCTCCTGACCCTGCTATGAGCCAAAGTTGGATAGCCTTGACAGTCTTAAGTCTTCCTTCTAATTAAAACCTAATAGTGAGCACTTTGTCAGCCCTTATGGAGCATTCCAGTGCAATTAAAGGCTGCCCATTTACTCATATTGCCACTGCTTCACCATGTGTATTTAACTTACAGTAACACTATAAGCTCCTTTTAATATAAAGTAAGATGTTACAAATACTAGAGGCAAATTTATACTGCTGGCTTACATAGATACAAGAACAAAGTTTTTCAGGTTTCCCCAACTACCATTGCTATGATGTTAACAAGTCTGTAAGTCCTATAGATATGCCAAAACATTTGCGATTAAGCCCTCAGAAAATAAGAAAAAGAAGAAGTTGCAGTACCATATTTTTCCCGTGGACCATTGTAGTCATAAGGTTTGCCCTTGCGGAAGATTTTCAGAGTTGGGTAGCCAGTAACATCAAACTTCTTTGCAAGCTCAGTTTCAGCAGTGGCATCGACTTTAGCCAGGGGAATAGGAGGTGTGCGCCTACTGAGCTCCTGGGCAGCCTTCTCGTATTCTGGAGCAAGCCTTTTGCAGTGTCCACACCTAGGGAAGGAGAGGAGGGCAGTTTTTACAAGCCATGACTCCTGCTAGGTACCTCCTACCTCTGAAATGGAAGAGTTAAGTTTTCTAAAATGAAACAAGTAGAAATGGGGCTATTCAATCTACAGAGGACACTTAAGTCTAGAAAGACTTATTTCTCCAGCTTGAAGCTAGCCTCTATGCCTGGCCCCACATTATTATAGGTAATTTCATTTTTAGAGGTCACTTTTAAGCTAAGGACCAACTCCCTTTGGTTTTCAATATCTCTCAATGTGTTCCCAAATTAGTAAATATGGAGAATCTTCAGTCAAGTTTTAGAGACCATCACTTGCTGAGAAACAGATCCAGTCTAGTCTTCAAGCCATTTGTAATGTGATCCTACATCCAGCTTAGAACTAAGGTACATGAGAGCTATACACACCCACACAAGACAAGCCTCTTTAGAAGAGGCATACAAACAGAAAACAGGTTCACCAAGTGTGTTCAGGCCAGCTGTTCACAGAAAGTCCAGGTGACTGCCTTCTTGCTTACCATGGAGCATAGAACTCTACCAGGATTATGTCAGCCCCATTCACGACATCATCAAAGTTATCCTGGGTCAATACCAGGGTAGCTTCTGGTGGAGGAGTCCAACTGGGGTCAGAAACCTCCTTGACTTTGGCCACAATCGCTGAAATACAGTTCAATAGCCCAATTAGCAAGTTTGCATTACTATACCAGCAGCATATCAAATTTAAAATCAGAGTGGCAAGCATGGTCTTGGACCAAAGCTTACTACACAAGAACACTTTCTTTATTAAGCTCCTTTATGCTTTACTCCATTGTTGGTATTGCCAAGAAAGTCTTCTCTTCACCCCACAAAGCATCTTTTATGCAAAGCACAGATTTGTACTTTGCAGCACAAAAGCACATGAATTCTGTCTCAAAACAGACAGAAAAGGTAGTTTTTCCCCCTCTGACTGAAGTCGTACACATTAATAAAGCAAAAAGCAAGTGGTTTTATATACAGTCAATCTAGAGACCAGATGTTTCTTACTGGCTGGTCCTTCAGCAAGCATGAGACTACCTCCTCTTGCAGCCAAGTCATATTTCTAGAAACCTTCCATCAGTAGCAGTACTGCCCACTACCTGCAAAACTGCCCTCTAGAATGCACCCAATTGAGAAGACAGAAAACTTGATTCTTCATAATACTATTCTGCTTAACATAACTTCAGATCAAAGTCCATGAAAATAGTCACATTAAGAAGCAAAACCATTTACTTCTTTGCTTTGTTACAGAGAACTGCAAAGGACTGGTGCTTACCATCTTCTGTCCGAGAACCGTCATAGTCAACAGGCTGGCCTTTTTTCAGGATTTTGATGGTTGGGTAGCCACTGACATCAAAACGACTTGCTAGTGAAGTAGCTGCAGTAGCATCTATTTTGGCAACTGGAATAGGAGGGTCATTTTCCTTCAGAGTTTTGGCTATCTTTTCATATTCAGGAGCAAACTGCTTGCAATGCCCACACCTGTCAGAGGAAGACACGTGTAGATGCACATAAATGCACAGCAGACTGGCAGGGGTATTTTGCTACTCAGCATTTCCAGGATGCCTTCTGACAGATGTTCACAACATCAACATAAGAATGTTTGTCTTGCTACGTTTTCAGATAATGGAGAGAGAGAGAGTAACTGTAGCTAACATGTTGTTTATTCAAATCCCAACCTTTTTTTTTTCCCCCCTCTCATTCAAAAGGCAACATATTTCCATATATGTCTTATAAAGCCATTGTAAAAAATTTAACAACTTCTTTTACAACAAAATTGCAAACCTTCTACTGTGCTTCTCCCTGCTCCCTGACCTCCCCAAATACGGTCTCATTATGAAGGGCTGCAACACCCAACTTCATGACTTTTCCGGGGCTCACTTGGACCATCTCTGTTCCCTGACAGGCACAGAGCAGGGACGGAACCAGGGCTGTGCTTCCCTCACCATGGGTTCCCCCAGCATGACCCACATCTGTGGAGAAAGAGCAGGCTGTTGTTTGTTGCATGGTACAGGGGCAGGGTAAACAGTATCTCCACACCACCAGAACAGTCTCCTGGCCTGGACTTTGGCAGAGTCATTTCTCCTGCAGGCAAGCTACTCCTACATAATCTTTACAATGGCAAGCCAAGATCACTTTTTAGGAGTGAGTCCTGTCAGAGAAGCCCCCAATAGCCACCCCATTCTGCACCTCAGGAGGTGCTACAGGCTGTCAACCAACCATGGTGCATAGAACTCCAGCAGCACAGTGTCCTTGTCCGCAGTAAAGGTGTCAAAGTTTGCATCATTCAAAACTAATACACCATTTTCTTCTTTGACTTCAGAATCATCATCATCTTCATCATCTTCATCATCACTGTCATCCTCAGCTTCTTTTGTAATAGATTCTGGAAAAGCAAAATTAAGAATGCAGTATTGATTAGATTGTGTCAAGTTTAACATTAAAATAACACCACCAGGTTAAAGATGGATTAAGTATGTCCTGTAGTTAAAAAAAAAAAAAAAAAAAGCATTGACACAGGTTAGTTCCCGCTCCACATACAATGATAGCTACCTCAGTTTGCAAAGAGCTTGGATTCTGATGTCTGACCAGTCCATGCTATGCCAGCTAACAATATCAATATTTCAGTAAAGCATCAACATGCATTTTGCTCTTCAGGGCAAACTAACAAAGACACAAAAAGCACTAATGCATACAGACCTGTCTGACAGTTGCTACCCAGGTCCATTGGCTATCTTGTTGAAATGTGGGCAGTGAGGCACCAGACATACTTTGTTGAACAAGAAGGGCACACAGATGATACCCGATTTCAAACACAAGCCCTCCATCATGCAGCAAAACAGCTGTCCTTCAAGTGCAGCAACTTGTGGTTGGAAAAGTTCAGTATCTTACATCAAAAAAGCAGATGTTATCTGTCCCCAATGTTTTCCTTGTACCCTTACTCACTACACCTGTCACACCACAACTGCTGTGCTCTGCCTGGCAGATACAAGGTACTCTTCTGAAATAAACAGAATGAAAATTTCAAGACTTTTGGGGAGGCATTTGATTTAAGGAGACCAAAACCAAGGACAGAACAGGCCTTTCAAGGAGAACGCAGATTTGCTAAATTACCGAAGTAAAGTTAGCACATGAAAACCGAAGCCAGGACATTCAACTGGTTCAATCTTTGCTGGCTTGGAATTTGAGATGGTTTCTATAATATCTGATCTTTCACATGTTCCTTTAAACATTTTTTTTTTTAAACTACTATCATTCAAGACAACCAAACCTTCCTGAATGACTTTAAAGGTATATCAGTCACAAAACATGTCATGAAAATACCTCATCCCAAATGAAAACTGTACACAACTGGGAGTACCAGGATTAAAAAAAAAAAAAAAAAAAAAAGAAAAAAAAGAAAAAAAAGGTTTCTTGTTCAAAACTGTTCTCAACTTTGTGTTTTGAGTAAGCTGGCAGGAGTTACTGCAGTAGGACAGCAAACCATGTACATGTAAGTTACTTATTCAGGACAAGAATTCTGAAAGTACTCCGATTTCACCTGTGATTTCAAAGTCAAGAATGATAAATACATAGTATCCAGGTGTGAAAAAGTGATTAAAAACAAAATCCACTAGTCTCAGACCAGTGGCAGACCATAGGAACAAAGCTCACTGTGGACATAATTATGACGTTGAATCACAATAGCTATCTCCCTGTTAGAAGAATGTATTAAAAAAATAAGTCTATATGCTCTCAGAAAACATGTACTCCTGGAGAGAATGCATTAATTTTACTTAGAACCCAACTTTATACACCACCAAAATAGAGCTTTCGATGAAGAGATCACAGGAGATCATTCCTCACACAACAGCAGTCACCCAGATTAAGTTTCTTTAGTAACTGCTACTGTTTCACCTGATCTACGAAGCAGCTAAAAGCACTATTTGCAAGTGGACAATGTCCCCTGTGTTGCTGCCTCTGAGCACTCGCAGCAAAAGGGCCGCACTGTCAAACGCTCTTGATGCGAACCTACAGCGGTTGTGTACCTATGGGACTGCACTGGTGAAAAAGCTGGTTTTCGGGGGGGAGGGGGGTTTCATCAGTCAAAAATTCTGCTTGCGTGCACGCCCAGCAGTTTTGAGGGCTACGTTTCACCACACAGTGATCATGCTTGGTCCCTGCCTGAATTCCCAGAGAGTTGTGCAATGCCCATTTTGCTTTCCCAAATAAATCACTTCTGACTTGATTTGTCCTGACACAAAGGAATTTGAGCAAAACTACCCGTCCCACTCTGCTCATGCATCTCTGAAACTAACCACCAGGCTGCGACTCTCATTCCTACTTACTATGCTAACTACCGGCCCCCGACAGAGAAAAACACCACCACAGCGACTGGGGCATAGGCTCACAGTTTAGAAAGCTGAGAACAAAGCATCACCTACAAAAACATCCTGCACTAGTGCAAAATGTCACCACTAGATCTAACATCCACCACTGAAATAATTTTCTATCTTTCACTACAAGCATCTGTATAGCCTGACAACATAAAACTTCCGTGACAGTGACACATGGCCATGGGCATTACAGACATCCACCTCCTCCTCAGATGGAGGCATGCATCACAGCAGGACTTCACCTTTTCCCAACTGCCTTATGGAGGGGGTGCATTTCAAAAAAAAAAACCAACAACAAACAAATTAACCCCACCTAAAAACTGGTCCTTAAGAGTGCAAACCCACCCTCTGGAGTCTCCAGCTTCACTGACACCTAGGGTTATCACCTCTAACATCCCCTTTAGTGTTGTGACTGAAAGACCTGCTTCAAGGACCTGACCAAGTATGAGAAGGTAAGCTGGACTTTTTTCATTAAGAGCAAGAAACACTCCTTTGTATTACAGATTTACAACTTGAACAGCACAGATACAGAATGAGTCTAACTGTGACACCTGAAATGACAAAAGTAGCTAACAAATATTTGCATAAGATGGCTCATGAAAATAAAATAGCTGCACCCGAACTCAAGTGTCTTTGTTTCTTAAAGCTACTTGCAAAGCAGGTGGACAAGTCAACAAGCGAAAGCTGTGGCTAAAACCTGCCCTCCAGTAAAATACTGACCATTCCCTTTTACTCCAACAAAGCATTTCCACAAATTTCAACACATCATTACACAAGCTAAAAAAACACGAAGATGACATTAATTTTAAGACTTCAGGTACATGACGCTGGCTGGGAGGCCTTCTGCAGGATGACAACTGCTCTAACCAAAATTACAGGAGCTTCACTGAACTTTCAGCATTTATAGCAAGTTTGGCCCAGTAAGTTTTTCTTAAGTAGGGTGAATCCCACATGAAAAAGTTATATGCAAACATCAACGACTTGTGTATTCTGCCTTAAAGTTTCCTTTTGTAGAGGGCACTGCAGCCTCTGTTTCTTAATTAATTAGCTCAGTTTTCAGAAACACAGAAGTCAAGACTTGTAATCTGTTGCCAGGGCATTCACAATCCTTTTTACGAAAGGAGTCTTCCTCAATCTTTTCTCTGGTGGATCCTCCACATGATCCTTCATCAGGATGCAAAGGGTGTAACGGTCATGACCCAGGTTAATCTTGCTGCGGGCATATTTGCTTCACTGCCCTAGTCAAACTTCACTTCCAAAATCATACCGTGCAACAAGCCTGGTTTCATCTGAATCTTTCATCTCCTGAACAATCAATTTACATAAGGTTACTTGCCTGTTGCAAAGTAAATTTGTTCCACTTCATACAACTCTGCACTTCAAGGGGAAAAATGGAAATCCCTAACTCCATGTATTTTTTTAAGCAGCATTCAAGATTTATACACAATTCTGAGATACACAACAGAAATAGGAAAATTATTTAAGGTGTGCAATGGTTTAATGTTCAACTTGCACACAGGAGGAAACACTTTCATTGCTGTGCATCTTTGATTCCCACAACTCATCTAACATGAAACACTGGTAAGAGCCTGGCTCGTGAGAAGCTGAGCTACTGCTGTCAGCCACAGGACCCAGGCTTTGCTGTCACATCACAGTTGTTACTTCACCATTTGAAGGCAGTAGGGGAAATCAGTACTGGGCTTTGTCACATCCTACAGAGCAATGACAAACAAGTGTTCTAGCTAAAAGAAAAAAAAAAAAAAAGAAAGACATAATACTGAATCTTATTGTGAAGCTCTTTTTTTTTAAATTCTAAGCTGAAATACACATATCTCCTTACTGATATGCTACATCCTATAAAAAAATCTTTTGACCTTTATCCTACAGATCACACAGTTAGACACACAAATAAGGTACCCGGCATAAATGCATTTCTTCAAGTTTCAGTGCCTGTTCCCCGAGCAAGAATTTTGCAGGACAGGAGTTCGGGAGGTCATCCATAACCCGGTCTCCCTGAACGCCCTCTAAAACATACAGCAGCATGAACGTAGAAAATATACAAGATGTAAGATTTCTCAAAACCCCCATGACAGACGCTCAAAACGCAAAAAAGAAGCGCCTTCAAATGCCCACCTCCTACGTACAGGCACTAAACTTGGTAAGTCAGAGCAGCTTTGTTTGAGCTACTTTCGGAAAGAAGACACGCACTACTGAAATTCAATGACAATGGGAAGAAACATCAGGAAACTAGCAGCGCAGGGCCTTCGAGCTGTGAAGATTTAAATAACCAGCCTGG